CCCTGTCCGTCTACCTCGTGGTCTCTCTTTCGCTCCTTCCCTCTCCATCGAACGTGCACACTCGTTCACCATCGCTCGTTCTCTTTCCCGTCGCTTCCTTCTCTCTTTTGATGTTTGATACCGACGTTTTCTATCCTCGTTGTTCTTTCTCTATCAATGAGGCACGATCATTCTCCTCTGATGATTTCTGATCTCGTCGTCCGCATTCGTCTCTTCCTATTGATTACAAATCTTTTGATCTTTCCGCTTCTCTCCTTTCTGAAATGTTCTCCATCTTTCATGATTCGTCCTTGTCTTTCGCTTGAAGCTGTTCTGATTGCTCCAGTTTAATCTAATCTGCTCTTCCGCAATTGAGACAAAATACGAGCGAAGAATACACTATACATAGTTTTCTATAGGAAATTGGTTTATTCGGATAACGTTTTATTGAAGATCAATGTTTTATTTTAATTGAAAAGAAAATATGTCAAATTATATATATATATATTAAATTTGAAATGTGAGAACTTTAAATGATTTTCCTGAAGGGCTATGAGATATCTCTTTCTCTCTACAGACTATTTGAATGCACGATCAATTTATTAATACTCGGTTCGTTGAAATCTATGTGTGAAATCTATATAGCTCTGTCTTGATAAAGACTTCCTTGTCTCTTTCGTATGATCGTAATCAAGAGAATATGATTCATGAAGGTCACTTCCCTTCTGAAGATGACCTCAAATCATTTCCAATTTCATAATCCCGAGTATTTGCTTGATCAAGCTTTTGACATTTAGGATCCTATTTGTCTTCTTCTTAAGCTATTCTCAAGAGATGCCATTACGGAGTTGTACATACCTATCGTATTTTAAGAAGAGGTAAGAAAAAGACAGTTTAATGCGATACCTTGAAGACCACCTTGAAATCCCACTACGCGATTATCTCAGCCTGTCTCAAGACTACATTACATCTAAGCTTACTCTAAGTCCTAAGTGCAAGTACCACCTATACTCTCACATACAATATCTGCTGCTCTGTCTCTCTCATTCCTCGCAAGAGTTTTTACTTACCGCATCCGTTGCCTAGAGTCATGTTCGCCGTTTCGTGATCACTTCGCTATCTTTCCGCTACAACAGTCGCCACCTTCGATCAAACATCCACCCATTTTGTTCTGCTATCATCTCGTTTGCTTTTTCTTTCCTTCGTCTTTTATTAGTTCGAGATCAAGATGTTCGCATATATACTTCGCCGTCACGTTCGTTCATCCCACGCCTCTAGTCACAATTAAACTTTCTTCCTAAGTGCTCATGCACGCACCTTTTTACCAATAGCCTAGTAATTTCATTTGGTGACGTTGATATCGTGATATTTATGTTAACAGTAATAGTTACATCTTTTTACTACTAATCTTATTACAGTAAATCTTTTTCTATTTGTCTCTTGCAATCACGACTTTCAGCCGTACACTATTTCTTATCCAACGTGAGCAGCGATATGCGTTTCAACTGGTGTTCAGAAAGCACTTCTTTAACACCCACATGCTGACACGAACATACGTGCTCTCACACGAGCAGATTGAGCACTCTTCAATATTTCTCTCTCTCTCTCATTCCCTCTCTCTTTCTCTCATGCCATGCAATATTACATATATCGCCGGAGATTGGGTCCGGATACGACCGCTCAACTAGCATGGGAGCAAGATACTAAGCAGCCACTTCCTCTTTCATGTACCGCTTGTAAACAGATCGTTAACGACGAGGTACGCGCTATTTTAGCAGTGATTTCGTTCTCGCAAAAGTAAAAAATTATTATTCGCAAGACAGCAGTGATTAATATCAATAAGATGAACCATCATAAATTATCCCATTTGGAATACACAGTTTATGATACAACGTTCATTACATCATGTAAGAAGCGATATATGCAACTAGACGATATATCTAAATATAATTATATTTGTACAATTATATTATCATATTTTTAAAAATATGATTTATATTTTAGGCAGTAATACTTAATGTATATCTCAAATTTAATATAATCTTATTTTTTATGTAGTGTTATAGATATATTATTAATTTCATTAATTATACAAGTATATATTATTCGTTATATAATGTTTGAAAAAAAATAATACAAAATTTTCTCTTGTATGTTTACTAAGTTTATTAAAATTTAAATCTCTCTTTATGTTATTTTATTTAAGATAATAAATCAACGGGCAAAATGGAAAATGATAATTAATTAGATAGTAACAGGTAGGTCTAAGATAGATTGAAATGGAGAATACGAAGAATACAAACGACAACTCTAATAAATATCATACGAATTGAATTCACGCGACGTATGCACTTAAGAAACTCACGTTTATGTCTTTCTTTTATCACATCAAGAAATTCCATGGTTATCTATGCTAACGGGATATTCTGATCGTGAGAAGCACGTCTTCTGTTTTTATATTTTTTAATTCAATTAATGTAAAGTAAAACAAAAATTACAAATGAATTATAAAAAATAAAAAAAATAAGAATTAAATTATTTCATTCTTTCATAATAATATATTAAATTCATATCAAATAATATTATAAAATATAATAACATTGTAATTTTCAATATTTTTATAATCAAGGCTAAATATAAATATAAATTATTTTATCATTGTTCTAAATAGTGAAATATTACATTTTCAATATACTACCAAAGATTATATTTGAAAAATATGCCAATAAAATTTTATCGCTTCCACATTGTAATCTATGTCATTAATCTCCCATTTATTTTTAGTCAATTTTTATTTATTAAATGTCAAATGACATTGAATAAGACATATACACATGTATACACACACACACACACACACACACACACACACACACACACACACACACACACACACAT